GGTTCATTGGGAGACTGCCTCAGTAAATAAGTGAGTGAGGAAGACATCTGATGTCAACCTCTGATCTACACACACATATATACATGTGCATGCACACGTGTGTACCCACAGAATGCATAACACATACCACACACAAGAGAGACAGATACACATGTGCACCCACACAAACGTGAACATACACACACCCATAACACATAACACGTGTGAGAGAGATACAGAGAGAATCAAGTCCATAAGTAGGCAACACACATGAAAGCCAGCAGAAACCCATCCAGGAAATACAGCTGTGCTTTCCTGGGGACAGTGACAGTCAAGATATCAGCTCTGTGACACTGACACCACTTTAAGTGTCAGCCCTGACCACAATGATACGCAGTGCCAAGACATAGCAGCCTGTTGTGAAGGCTGTGAGGGCAGCCCTTGGCCCAAGAGCTCTGACCAGATTTTCTTGCATCTTCCATTCCTCTTTGTCCACACCAGGGCCTCTGCTTCACTCCTGACAATCTGCTGAGCCCTGACCTGCCCTGGTTGTTTTAGAGAAGCTTGATGAGTATCTCAGTATTTTAAGTTCCTATGGACACTGGGATTTGTTCTGGGCCAGCAGAGAAAACAGAACCAAACCAAAACCACCCTCAAAACAATAATCGACGATTGATAAATGGGACCTCCTGAAACTGAGGGGCTTCTGTGGGGCAAAGAACACAGTCAGCAAGACAGGATGGCAGCCCACAGATTGGGAAAAGATCTTCACCAACCCCACATCTGACAGAGGGCTGATCTCCAAAATATACAAAGAACTCAAGAAGCTAGTCTCCAAACACCAACTAATCCATTGAAAAGTGGGGTAGAGAACTAAATAGAGAATTCTCAATAGAGGAATCCAAAATGCTTAAAAAACACATAAGAACGTGTTCAACATCCTTAGTCATCAGGGAAATGCAAATCAAAACAACTCTGAGATACCATCTTACTCCTGTCAGAATGGCCAAAATCAAAAACACCAATGACAGTTTATGCTGGAGAGGATGTGGAGAAAGGGGAACACTTCTCCACTGCTGGTGGGAGTGCAAACTTGTACAGCCACTGTGGAAATCAGGATGGCGATTCCTCAGGAAAATGGGAGTCAGTCTACCACAAGATCCAGTGGTTCCACTCTTAGGCATATACCCAAAAGATGCACATTCATACAACAAGGACATCTGCTCAACCGTGTTCAGAGTAGCACTATTTGTAATGGCCAGAGACTGGAGGCAGCCTGGATGCCCCTCAACTGTGGAGTGGGTGGAGAGATGAGGTGCATTTGCACGGTGAGGTGCTGCTCAGCGGAGAAGGACACTGGAGTCTTGAAATTCGAAGGCAGATGGAGCTGGAGGAGGCCGTCCTGAGTGAGGCGACCCAGTCACAGGGGGACAAAGATGGTATGTACTCACTATGTATGGATTTTAGATCTAGAGCAAAGAAGTAGCAGCCTACAATCCACACCACCAGAGAAGCTAGGAAAGAAGGAGGACTCTAAGAAAGACACACATGGTCCCCTGGAGAAGGGGAAAGGGACAAGATCTCTGAAGCAATTGGGGATCATGGTGAAAGACCCCGAAGGGATACTTTCGTAGAGGGAGACCCACACACCCAGGAACCAGCGAGGCCACGAACTGGATGTAAAAAACAAGAGGCTTTATTGGAGACGCGGGTACCCGGGGCGACGTAGCTTTTCTGAGGCCAAGCGCCCCGAGCCAAGGGAAAGGCGTCCTTATATAGGGAAAAAGGCGCAAGCTAGGAGCAGGGATTCTATTTGATGGTTCAAATGAGGCACAGAGCCATTCCAGATCAGCATATTCTCAAGGTCTGGTGTCTGGTACAACAGACTTGATTCCTCCCTCCGCGCCCAAGGGGAGGAATGGAGGAGAGCAAGAAAAGAGATACCAAATAAAGGGAGCCATTATAGTTTTAAAGAGAATTCTGGCACTAGGGAATTATCCAGAGATCTGCAAGGTCGACCACAACTAAAAGTCTAAACAATAGTGGAGAGGCTACCTTAAAAGCCCTTCTCCAATAATGAGACTGATGACTACCTTATGTGCCATCCTAGAGCCTTCATCCAGTAGCTGATGGAAACAGACGCAGACACCCACAGCTAAACACTAGCTGAACTCCGGAATCCAGTTGCAGAGAGGAAGGAGTGATGAGCAAAGGGGTCGAGACGAGGCTGGAGAAAACCACAGAAACAGCTGACCTGAACAAAGGGTTGCTCATGGACCCCAGACTGGTAGCTGGGAAACCAGCATAGGACTGTTCCAGACCCACTGAAGGAGAAAGTCAGTTTGGAGGTCTGGACAATCTACGGGATCACTGGTAGTCGATCAGTATTTACCCTTAGTACACGAATGGACTTTGGGAGCCCTCTCCTCACAGAGGGATACTCTTGCAGCCTAGACACACTGGGGAGGGTCTAGGTCCTGCTCCAAATGATGATAGACTTTGAAGATCCTCCCCATGGAAGGCCTCACCATCCCTGGGACGCAGAAAGGGGTTGGGATAGAGGGTTCGGTGGGGATCACGGAGGGAGAGAGAATTGAGATTGGCATGTAAAAGAAGCTTGTTTCTAATTTAAATTAAAAAAGAAAGGAAAAAACAATTAATAAATACTTGTTTGTGACTTCTAGCATCTGGTCTAAAAAAAATAGTCATGAACTTCCCAGGCAGTCATCCCTCCAGGGGTAGAGAGAGACTTGGTCTCTTCTTAAGTCCTTACTGTGAAGCTGTGACACTGCTCTGTTTGTACTTAGACTGTCACCACCTTAGGTGACAGTCTGGGTTAACAGACACTTACTGCCCCCACCCCCACCCCGGGCTAGACATACTTCTAGGTGTGAGGGACATTGTGACGAGAAAGGCACAGTCCTTGACCCTAAAGGGATGATTCTAGTAGGGAAACAGTTATGAAATTAAATAAACATGGGCATCCATACCCATATGAATCACCCCAGTGGTCACAACAGGCCTTGTATATACTAAGCAACCTGTTTCCTGCTAACAGTGGTTTTTCCTTCCTATATTCCTGATAAGCCTGGAGTCCTGGCCTGACTATCAGAGTGATAGTGAACACAATTGTGCTTCTGTTTCCTCTGTCTAGCTGTCATCTGGAACCCCATCCCCAAGGCAGTTAATCCTTCTTCGACACATCACCCTCCAAATAGCCATGAATAGTTGGGTGTCAGTGTGAAGATAAGAATCTATTTTTTTCTCCTAGGATTTTAAAAAATATAAAATATCTCTTAGAGTCAATATATCATCCAGGAATCAACTACAAGGTTGATAGTGAGAGTAGTCTCTAAACTTGAAGACTGGGGCACAGAGCATCCTGTCTGTGTAATATATGAACTGGGCAGGACAGTACCTAATTGGGTTTTCCATTCTCCTTTGGCCAGCCCTCATGTCTCCTCCAGCAATCCAGGTTTTGTAATGGAGACATTTCCTTTAATGTCACCAGCACCAAATCCAGAAATCCACTCATCAGATTATGGGCTCCACAAAATGAAAAAATGCCCAGTGGCTTAGGTGAGTAAGAGAGGATGGCTTGCAGGGAGAGCGGGGGTGGTTCCTCAGTTCTGAGCTTAGGAACTCCTGCAGCTTCATGGGTCTTTGTGATTCTGTGAGAACAACACCACATTGTCTCAGACCCCTCTGTTGTAGACAGGCACTGCCTCAGACCCCTCTGTTGTAGACAGGCACTGCCTCAGACCTCTCTGTTGTAGACAGGCACTGCCTCAGACCCCTCTGTTGTAGACAGGCTGATCCGAATTGTTCTGCTAGTGGAAGTTTGGCATTGCTTTGATGGAAGCTTGTACTCACCTTTCTTGGGAACATGTTGACCAAGAATAGCTGCTTTCTCAAAGAGTGGGAAGTGCTTGCATCAGAAGCAGGGACAAAGGGTCTAAAGAACTCTGGGGAGAGCTCAGAATATGTGATGCCCAAAGGGTCAGGCTGGACCTCTCCCCTCTACCTACCTCTTGTGCTCAGGGCACAACCTCCAAAGGTTGGGACATTACCTTAGAAGTTAATTTAAATTCCAGTTAGTTCTT